AGGCAGTTAAGAGTATCCTCAATCCACTTCCTTCAAATATTTATCTCTCTATCGAGTTCATTAAATTTCCTTGATCCCACCACTTTCTCCCTTCTACTATAATCAGTGAGAACTCAGAAGACTTGAGTTGTGATCACAGTTATTCCATCCATTACTGTGGTTGGGGAAAGAAATGTTAGCTTTTGGAGTCTCAGTGAAATCATCTCCTGAGAGGGGGACCCTCATTGTCTCTATGGCCCTTTTCAATTCGGATGCTCTATAATTCTGAATCACGCTTTTTTTATTACTTTGATTTTTCTACACTTGATCTTAGCCAAAAGGCCGAGAAGCGATACTTTGATTTTTCTAAACTAGAACCCCACTAGAGATTCTCCACGTAAATTCATAATACAATATTTTATAAAGACAGCATACAGTGGTGGTTAAGAACATGAATTCTGCACTGGTCACTTACTAACTGTGACTTCAGGCAAACTATTGAAATCTTTAAGGTGCTTCAGATTTTTTTGAAACTTTGGTAATAACATTGCATATCTCAGGAGGTTAGATGAGAATATTGTGCATAAAGAGTACATAGATCGATTATATTAATATAAAAAGCATTAAGCCTAGTGCCTGGCCAATAGTAAGTTCTACATATATGTTAATTATTATGCCACCCATGGAAGCATAAACTCACAGAAAGTCTTTTGATTTTTTTTCCATCTATGAAGTACAGATAAAAAGAATTGGAAGAGTATTTCTAGTAGATTATACTTATTTTAACCCATTCCCTGATGATTTTTTTTTGAGACAAATTCTCTCTGTGTCACCCAGGTTGGAGTGCAGTGACACAATCTCAACTCACTGCAACCTCCACCTCCTGGGTTCAAGCAATTCTCTTGCCTCAGCCTCCCGAGTAGCTGGGACTACAGGTGTGTGCCACCATACCCGGATAATGTTTTGTATTTTTAGTAGGGATGGTTTCACTGTGTTAGCCAGGATGGTCTCAATCTCCTGACCTCATGATCTGCCTGCCTCAGCCTCCCAAAATGCTGGGATTACAGGTGTGAACCACCATGCCTAGCCCATTCCCTGAAGATTTTTGTGTTCAGAGCATAAACACCACTAGGCCTAAGCCTTCAGAGTAGGAGGAATACTCGTCTTTCTGACCTTCTGCTTAATAGAATTAGGTAAGTTCTTGGGCATGAAGTTTCCCACCTTCAACTCTACAGTTCACTACCTGCTATTTCTTTATTGCTGTTTCTAACACCCAGAATTTAAGAATAGTAGTATTTAACCAGGGCAAGGAGGGGTGCATAAGAATCTTTACATGTGATAGAGCAGAGGGAATGGGCAATTTGAAAGTGGCCCTTAGGAAAGTTGTGTCCAAATTTCCCAATCCCTACTCCTTGAGAACTATTTCAGAATCTGCATTAAAATACTAATATTCCGCACTAGAGTCAAATCTAATGGAAAGCAGAAATCCGAAAAGGAAATTGGAAAGAGGGTGCAAAAGAAGTTAGGGACAGGAAAAAATATGATAAGAAATGGGTTGAGTAGGTGGTCCAAATAAGGATCTATTCTACTTTACACTTTTATGTAGATTTGGCCATGGGTTACTTTTTTCATAAACATTTCAGACTATTAATTGACCTTTTAAGAAGGAATTATCTCAGCCAACGTTTCTTAGGGAGGAGAACTCCAAATGCGTAAAGTAGAATTTAGCTACGCTAATAAATCTACCAGCTCATCTTTCCAGCTTGGCTTATTTAAGCAGCAATGAAGAACAGTCAGAGGTCCCAATGGCCTTATGTCAGGTAGGAGAAAGAACAGAATATGGTTCCTGCATGACTCTTTTTCTTCTCCAAGTGTTCAGGGACCACATCACCAAATTTCAATAAAAAGAAAAGCAGCTTGGTAACAAGACTGCAAAGACCCTACGCAGATATATTGCACTCCTATATATTTGTGTCAGTTGCAATTTTTCTTCTAACGGTACAGTAGACTATGGCTTTTCATGATTTCCAGTTGAGAAATGTCTCTGCCCCAGTTCAGGTCTCCTTCCTCATCCTAGTGATTATAATCGCTTTCTACCTGCTCTCCTTGGCTCTGGTCTTCTTTCATGCTAATCCATGCCATTTTTTGTAGCCATAATAATTTTTTTGACATTCTGATCATGAATGAATACATAAATAAATAGGGAATAGATGGGTGACTGTTATACCACTTCTGCAAGACTAATGCATGGGCTTTCTCTGATGCCTTGTTGCTTTTTCAGCTCCTAAAAGGAGTGGTTTTTATCTAGAATATGTAATGTTACTTTTTAGTGGTAAAGTACTACATTTTATAAATTGTAACAATTTAGTTATTTTGTAAATTGGAGAAGATTGGGGATAATTTGAATAATATAGGCATTATTTTCACTCATTTGAACTATGATAAAACTTCTTGAGAGAGATAGAAATAAGTAGAATTATTGCTATGGAAATCACATATGAGGCGTTTCTTAAGAAGCAGTCCTATCATGTATTCCAGAAAAGGAAAGATTTGCTTGTTGCTTTCAAGGAAATCACTTCTTGAAAGAGAAAGATAACCAAAATGTTGGCCATGTATGTAGAAGAACTTTCATTTCTTCTAGTCATTGGCAGGTCTCAGATTCCATGTCTTTTTTGGTGTTCAATGCTTCAACTAGAAATCTATAAATTATCCATAGGGAAGTCATGGTAAGTAATCACAAGACATTAACAGTCCAGCTAAAGTGTTAGGAAAAATTCCTTTCAATTTTTCTTGCCTAAATTATATTTTAAAAATTAGTTGCACACTGTCAGCTACAGGTAGGTAGGTAGATATATAGACAGATGATAGACTGATAGATACATAGAATATAAATAAATAAAATGATTAAACAAAATGAAATCAGAGAAATTTCACTGCTTATCTACTGCCTTGAAAAGGGGACTTAGTCTTTTTATTTTTTTCTTAAATTTTTTCCTGAAATATTTGAAGCAATATTGAAACTGGGGATAAACTGTTGCAACTTCTTTATCTGCTCTATCTTGCAATCTGGTAAATAAACAATTTTCAACTTTCTTTTTGAAAGCCATTAGAATTACAGAACTTAGAGCTGGAGGGAATCAGAAGAAATCACTTGGGCCAGTTTGTCCTTGACCTTCAGGTGGTCAACACCAACCAGAAATGTCAGCAATCCCCATACGAGCTGTTCTGTCTACCCCCCAACACATGCACATTCTTTCATAATTATGAAAGCTTCGAAAATTATAAAAATCTTTAATGTGTTTTCAGGTGAGGTTTGAAGAATGATTCCAGGAAAGATTCAAAGCTTTAGTAAAAATTTCGAGATTCACAGAAATTGGGATAGATTCACCTATCCCACTTATCCTTCCCCCAACCCTCATTTTTTAAAATAGCTGACAAATGTTGGCTGGAGAGTTAGGCTTTGAGAAAAGGAGAGACCAATTTGGGCATGTTGTCTTAGACATCTCATAACTCAGTTTCCATCACAACCTGCCAGCCTTTAGAGTCTGACAGTTGGTAACACAGCTAGGCAGATTTTACTTTGGGTGTACCCTTCCCAAGCCATTCCCCCTAGGGCAAAAGGTAACCTTGAAATAAGGAAGTATCAGTCAAGTGCAGGTGTCTAAGGATTACAGGTAAACTTATTCCAAACCCATCTCTTCACACACCTGAGTGATGCCGTCACTGCCAATTTAAGCTGAGAAATCACATATCCAAAGGATGTCCTTCTTCCTGGGTGTTTTGACTCAGTTAAGGTTTATGGATTAGACTGGTTCAGAAAAATGATAGAACAAAAGAAGGAGGGATGTCAAGACATTTTTGTGGCTTTTTCTGTCTGCCGCTGATCACACTGAGGTGATAGGTGGGATTAAAGTTTTGTCCTACATGAACTTCCCACCTTGGCTAGTCTAAGTACAGAAACAATGCTTATGTTGAGACAGTAGGAAAGGTCATGTCTCCTTTCTCGACTTGGGTGGGCAGGGGAAGAGGAGTATCAGTGATGACTGCCTCTTGATGTGGTCCATCTCCTTGGGAACTTCTGCTCAGACACTGTCTCCATCTATGATCAGCAAGCGACCAGGTTCTGGCAAGCAGATCACACAGGGTCTTTAAAAACCAAAGAGAAGCATTTAACGTGCAAAGTCTTGTTTAGAATGTGATTTTTAAAAATCACAACAGCAAGTGCGAATTCTTATTATGTGACAATGCCTATCTAGCACAGAGGGTTAAAAATGATTATGGGGTTGAATCTGTGTTCCAGGATAAGAACTGCATGATTACATATCAACATACAGGTTCAGGAAGATGTAGTGGCTCACCTATCATATTTCCATATTAAAGTTGCTTCATGGTGCTCATTGAATCTATTAATTTCAAACATTCTTGCATGTATCCTTATAATCACCCTTCGAAGTCATGGTAGTATCCCCATACTGCAGCAGAGAAAATTATTTGCTATTATTTACGGATTTGGAAATACACAAAGGCTTCAATATGCATCTACTGTAAGATCAAGATTCCTCAAAAGTCAAAATTAATAATAAACCCTCAAAGAAAACATAAAGCAAAAGGAGCAGAATGAATTGCAAGGCTGGGCAGTATCTGCAGAAAGGAGACAGGATTTTCGTAGAGTGATGCTTTCTTAGAGTCCTAAGGTGCCTCTAGACATGCTGTAGCAGGAAGACTCCTCAAACACACTTGGGTGAAATGGGAGGGGCCATGGATTAGAAAGGTGCAGCAGCTACTCAGTAGGTACTTATTTTAAACACACCATATGGAATTGAAATCCTCTTGCACTCTCTAATTCTGTAAAAGGAAACCAAAGAGTTTGTTGCAATTTATGGTCTTAGAGTTAGGCTGTAGCTGAGACTCCCCAGCCTTTCCCTAGTCACGGGGCTGTAAATGGCTCAGCCAAGGGGAAAAGCCCAAAAATCCCTTGTGAATAGATGCGCCAACTTACTAAGGTTTCTATGCTATTGCAGTGCCATCGGTAAAGTTAGTGAAACATTGCCTCATGGGATTCTCCTCTCGTATAGCACCGCAGGATGCTCCTCCAAGGGAAGGTGCAAACACTATGAACATACCAAGCATCACCGCCAGGTAAGAGCTGCAGAGAATTTTGGCCTCCTATAGTTTTTTGAGAATCAGTGGGCCATATATATTGTATTTAAACCAGAATATTTGCTTTATAAACTCCTATACTGACCAGTGGAATTGTTCCACCCCAAAATGAAATCATCTCCACCTCCCCCATATCACTAAGCCAAGCAAATATATCTCTTCTTTCCATTGCTCAAATTATCTGTACCCATTATAACCCAAAAGTTAGATACGTAACTTTCTTTCAGACCACCTTTCAGGCACTTTAGAAATGTAAGTTAGGGCCAAATGATAGGAACTCCAAATAGCTTTTCTATTGCTAATTCATCCTCTATTTCCAGTACATTGAAGATGCTATTGCCTGAGTTTTTGCATCTGCAAAATATGGGACTCAAATCTCTCCTTCTTGCCCTTTTCCTTACAGCTTTTTAGTACACTAAAACCTCCACTAAGCAGAAAGCAGAGTTGGAGGAAAGTGAAATGTTTAGTCAATTTTAATTAGAGGGGCAATCCAAAAGTTCTATCATTCCAAACTTTAATGAAAATAGCTCTGCAATATGTTGACAACATTTCAGTTTCGTAGGTCTAACATACCAGGAAGATCTTTAATGATTAAAAATTGTGATTATCTAAGGGTAAATATATTATCAAAGAGCCATTATAACCTAACATTACATAACGTTATAAATATTTTGTAGAGATTAAAAGAGATTAGGTATTTAAAGCACTTTGCTGCTGCAGCCAATATGAAAAACAATATGCAATTTCTTCAAAAAATTAGGAACGAAACTACTATATGATCCAGAAATCCTATTTCTGGGCATTTATTCAAAGAAGACAAAATCAGTATTTCAAAGACAATTCTGCACTCCCATGTTCATTGCAGCACTAGTCACAACAGCCACATTATGGAAACAACCTAAGTATTAGTCAGAAAATGAATGGAATAGGGCTAGGTATGGCGGCTCATGCCTAAAATTCCAGTGCTTTAAGAGGCTGAGCTGGGAGGATTGCTTGAGCCCAGGAGTTCAAGACTAGCCTGGGGCAATATAGAAAGACCCCATCTCTGCAAAAATTAAAAAAAAAAAAATGAGCTAGTCATGGTGGTACACAGCTGTAGTCCTATCTACTTGGGCTACTGTGGTGAGAATATTGCTTGAACCCAAGAGTTTGAGGTTACAGTGAGCTATGTCCATGCCACTGCAATCCAGCCTGTGTGACAGAACGAGAGCATGTCAAAAAAAAAAAAAAAGAATGGATAAAAGAAATGTCACACACACACAGAATAGTATTCACTCTTATTAAAAGAGGAGGAAATTCTGCCATTTGCAGCAACATGGAGGAACCTAAAGCACATTATGCTAAGTGAAGTAAGCCAGACACAGAAAAAGAAGTACTGCACTGATCTTACTTATATGTGGACTCTAAAATAGCCAAACTCATAGGTACAAAGTGGAATGGTGGTTTTCAGAAGTTGGGAGTGGGGGAAATAGGGAGTTGTTGGTCAAAGGGTACCAAGGAATTACTTTGCTTGATTCCCAGCTGCTAGTATGTCTTCATTAAATGTTTCTTATTTATTGCAATGATCAATTCTTATAGCCAGGAAGATGTTTACAGTTGGGCCAAATGTATAATAAGTGCAGAGCCTTCCAATAATGTAGATTTTGCAATAAATATTTTACTTGTACTTGGTTTCGATGCAATTTACCTGTTTCTTTTAACACAGAGAGTCCTATTCTGCTTACCTGAGGATTCTGGATTGGTGGGTCTGGTTAATGGAAATTTTCCTGTACCCTGCCAAAGGTGGGCAGGAGTCAAATGTCTGAGCCACCAAAAGTGCCTTCCCTTCTATGCACTTTTTTTTTTTGAGAGATCCTCAGTTTGTTGCCAGGTGCCAGGCTAGAGTGCAGTGGCGCAATCTCAGCTCACTGCAACCTCCGCCTCCTGGATTCAAGCAATTCTCCTGCCTCAGCCTCCCAAGTAGCTGGGACTACAGGCACACGCCAGCACACCCAGCTATATTTTTTTGTATTTTTAGTAGAGATGAAGTTTTACCATGTTGGCCAAGATAGTCTCAATCTCTTGACCTCATGATCTGCCCACCTTGGCCTCCCAAAGTGCTGGAATTACAGGCTTGAGCCACCGTGCCCAGCCCCTTCTGTGCACTTTCTAAGAGCAATATAAAAGTCCTGAAGATTACGGTTTGTGTTCTTCCTGCCTTCCAGTCCCAGATTTTATAAAGCGGGATGAGATAGCCTATGGGAAAGCACTGAGAACCAGTTGAGGGAAAGGTCTTGGGACATTTCAGGGACCAGATTTTACCTCGCTATTTCCAACAACAAAACAATCACAGATGAACACTGGGATCTGAAGACGTTTTTTTCTCCAGAAATGGTTGGTAAATAGACATATATTGAATAGACTGTACGTGCTAAGTAGGCACCATGCTTGATGCTTTTGTAAATATAGAAATCATGTTTCAACTTCCATGCTGTCTAGATGGGTAAACAAGACAGATTCACATAAGATGAGTCAGAGGCCAAAGAAGGAATAAGTGCTAGTTTTTGACAGCACAGTACAATATATTGCATATTTCAAAATTACTGGAAGAGGAGATGTGAAATGCTCCCAATGCAAAGAAAAGATGCACACATGAGTCGATGGTTATTCTAAATACCCTGACTTGATCATTACACATTCGACACATGTATCAAAATATCACATGTACCCCACAAATACGTACAAAATATTATGCATCAGTACAAATATACAGAAATGAGAAGTTAATTTTCTTCTCTAGAAAGTACAGGGGAAAGAAGTTGGAAAACTTTCACAATAGAAAGTTTTTGCAGTTCGAAACAAACACATAATAAAAGTCAATCAGTCAGTCAGCGACCAATAGACCTTCCGCTAGAACCATCCATGTAGCACTCGAAAGCCGTACTCTTTCAAGTGTCTCATGGATGGTTCTGGAGGAAGGTCAGAAGAAGATGAGGTCAATGAGGGCTGGAAAGATTGTTCTAGAAAGCTTCCTGTGGGAAGTGGGATTTGGAAAGGTGGGAGACAGTGGGAATCTCAGCTCCTGTGAACAGTGTGACATGGATAAAGCCTGGGGAGAATGTGGCATTTTCCATGTAGCAACTTGCCAGCCTGACGAGAGGAGAGAGTGCATGGTAGAGTGTCATGGGAAAGTCTCAAATGTCTCAAGAACAGTCTTGGATTTTGCTATTGTGCGTGTGTGCATGTGTGTGTATGCTATATTTATGTTAATGCAAAGTTGTTAAAAAAACATGATTCAAATTTGAAAATTGTTTGTGAAGACATAAAGACAACATATGTGATAACACAGAAAATGCTCCAATCATGTTTGTGCTTTTGTTTATTCTCTCCCATGTCTTCTCTGTGATGGTAAATGGTTGGCAAGCCAGGGATCATCAAAAGCCACAGAAAATTCTTAAATGTAATTTTACCCATTCAGTTTCACGCTCGCTTTTCTTTTCTTCTTTAGCACAGCTGTAAAAACAAAGTAATTTAACATATTGGTATTTTTTTCCTTTGGTTTTAATTCCCACTGTCTGTAATAAACAACACAATGGTATAAAGCAGGCATCTAAAAGGAGAATTGATCCAGATAACCTGGTTCATCTGCAGACCTGGTCTATCAGCCCTATTTCTGGTTGGGGATCCCAAAATATGCTTTTGACCCCGAGTAGGCCAGAGATTGTGATCATAACCCATGCAGATGATTGCTAAAGCTTATGATTAATTCCCTTGCACTTCTTAATTCAAATTCAAGGTACATTTGCATGAACTAAAGAGCTTTAAAGAAATAAACAAGGACCACACTGCAGAATCTTTTAGATGGTGGTATATCCTTGAACATATATGTTCCATTTGAGGATGAGTCTCTGTGACATTTCATCAATGAGTTGGTTACTCAGGTGACTTACATACATTGTTAATGGGTCAGTGGTAGAGTAGCCCCACTTAGTACCATAGAAAATAGTTTGTGTTCATTTGTTTAGTGTTTGTGTAGTAAGACAAAGGGAGTTACAACTCGCAAATTGACAACATATGTCTAAAGGTTCTATGTTTGCTGTACAACAGTGAGTGGTAAAATAAACTGGATGGCTTAATAGAGACTAGTAGGCATTATTGGAAAAAATGTAAAGTGTGCGGTATGTGCTGTTCATGATCCATGTTTGATGCATTAACAGTCTTACATTCAAAAACCAAAAGCAACATAATATTATCTATAGTTTTTCTGACAATGAGCTTGCTGTATTTAAAAATGTAATCTTCAGGCCACCAGTGGGTTTTCTAGTAAGTTAAGAAATAACTGTCTTCTATGCTTAGTACTTAAAGCACTACAGACAGCTCTAACTGATATAAAAGTTATAGTCCAATATTTCTTTGTATTCCTGGTGTCTTTCTTTTTCTATAGACTAAGCAATGTTATAAATAGCAGTTATGCTGTCAGACTAGCACACAAAAGACTCTTTAATAGGTGGTAGTTAAATAAATATTTGTTGAATGAATAAGTAAACAAACATTAGCTCTCTTTGCTTGAATTTTGTGTCCTTAAATCAAAGGATCATGTGATATAAGAGAGAGAACGTATTTCCTCTTACTTTTTGGGGAGATAAGTTAGACCTGTGCAGTGTTTTATAGTAAGTGAACATGAATCTCATTCATTCCTGGAGCTCCCTGCTTCCTATTTCTTTGCTTTTACCATTCCACTTTGGATGAGTTAGGACCATTTTGCCCATTGTCCCTGTTACACAATTACTTACTATTCTCTGCTTCTTCTCTATCAAAAGTCTCTTCTTTAGTAAAACTGATTTTAATTAGATATTAGAAAGAGAAGTTTTAGATACAACTGCTTTGTATGATGCTGTGACTGATGAATAACATCATAACCACACTAAATTATCCAACTTTTTAAAAAGTAGGTGTGAATAAACTCAAGTAAATACTGAAAGATGTTTAATCAGTGAAAC